TTTATAATATAGTTTGAAAACAAAATATTAATAGAAATATTTTACAAAATGGAACAAACAAAGAAATGCATCCAAATAAAGTTAATACCTGTTCTCGGGCAAAAGCCTCTGAAGCACATTCTTGAATAGTTATTGAGCAGGCAATGAAAGTAAAAACAAGATCTGCACAACAAGAAGCTCTTAAAAGTGTAGAAAACTGTGAAATACAAAAGCAAATATTGATCATTTTATTGCAGATTTTGTGTGTACATTTTGGCAACTAAGGCCTCCAGAGTTAACGAAGTTAATTGGAACAAATGTCACCTAAACTTTCTACAGTTTATTTTAACAGTCCATTTGCTTTATAAAGGTTAAACATTACACCATGAGTACTTTACTGTTAGAAATGAATATCGTATATTATCATGAGTTCACCTGTAACATCTCTTATACACTTGTATATCGTAAAATGGGTTTTTCAGAAGACACACCTTCTCAAAGACTGAACGGGAAAGTCTGCAATCCTGTTTCTTGTGCAGGTCCAGGAGCTGACGGAGGTGGGAAACCAGGGACTTCAGATTCTCCACCCCTTTGGAAACATAATTATCCTCCTTAAAAAGAACACAATTAAAACAGGTTAGGATAGGCAAACTTCTCAGCCTCATGAAACATGTGTTTGTGAAGAAGTCTGGGAATCAAAGATAAGTCAAAACAACAATACAAATATTTTAGAAAATGGAAGAAACATGGAAATGCATCCAAATAAAGTTCTCAGGTAAACCCTCTGTGAAGCATCCGACGACGACAGAAGAAATCAGCTCTCTTCGACTATCGTTGAGAAACAAAAGACAAAAAAAAAAGATGGCTTAGTATGTTGAAACACATTGAGTAGTTATTAAGCAGGAATGTAGAAAAACAAGATCTGCACAACAAGAAGCTCCCGTTTTAAGTGATGTTTCGAGTCAACTGAGGAAGAGCATGTTGGCACTATGGTGTGCAAAATATGTTACTTAAATGTGCTGAAATCTTTACATTTAATTCATGCAAGATCCACTTACCACTGTAATAAGTGTTGATTGTTTACCATGTTTATTTTTGTCTGGACGAGACAGGAGACTGAAGACCTATCCAGAGAGTAAGCAACAGTCATCGAGGGCAGAAATCGTATTTGCAGTGAGTTGATCTGAAAAATCAAAAGCTTTGTGAAAATCACATCACAGTTCTCTAAAAGCATTTGTACAAATACATGACAGTAGTCATGTTTGGTCAGTGTAATCATCTTCATGCAGCTTTTGTCTTGGCTGTGAAACAGATATTTCATTATTTGAGTCCCATTTCTCTGTATAAATCACAGCTGTAGTAGGTTTTAAAACACTAATACATACGCCACCATGGAGGCAGAGCAACACTCTGTGGTGAGTTCAAAGTCATGAACGACCAGAATGGGCCAACAGTGAATCATGACCAGGAAGTGAAGGTCCCAAAGACTCCTTACGCAGAAGAAAAGACAACAACAATCATCACACAATCTTTTCCAACAGGCCTTTGAACTTTGTGCAACTGTTTCACGTTGTGTTTCTATTCCTCATTCTTTCGCTTTTACCAATTAGAAATCATAGTTTGTTTACAAAACACTTATCAAACACCAACGCTAAAAAGTGCTTTACACAATGTAAAAATAAAGTCTCAATAAAACCGCAAAAAAAATAAAATAAAAGTAGCAATAAATAAGACATAAGGCTTTTACACTTGTCAGTAAAATGTTATGATAATAAATGTTCAGGAGTTAAAATTGTATTTAGCTATGTATATATATATATACACACACACACACAGTACTTGTAAACAAGAGTGTACCTGTAATTAAGCCATCGCTGACAGTGAGCGAGCAGATCTTGGCCTGATGAGGGTACATCATCGAGAGAGTGAGGACATTTTTTTTATCACCCTGTGAAGAGACTAGTATTATAAAAATCTACACAAAGACATACGGGATGGTTTTCAATCTCGCCAACATTTCCAGGAAAGATTTTACTTTAAAGCGTACATTTAAATTAATTCATCATTATTTAAGGAAGAATGTGTGACTTTTTTTGATCCAGTAGATGCTGCCCCTTTGAGCACCAGCATTAAACCAAAACAAACCGCTGTTTGGGGACACCTCCACTATTCTGAGCCGTCCGCTCTAACTCCAGCAGCACACCTCCAACCCCTCTCCACTCGCATTCACACAAAGGAGTAATCAATTAGAACGCACCATTAAGAGCAAGTGGTGGACAAAATTGTTCTTTGCTGCACTCACCTGTGGCCTGCATCGTTAGCACATTCTGTTACCTCATAGCTTGTGGTAACTCTGGCCTTTCCCTCTGTCAAAAGCAGGAAAAAGGCCAGAAAACTAAAGCAGAAAAACAGCAAAATTACAGATTTTGTGTGTACATTTTGTCCACAGCGGTGTCCAGAGGGAATATCTGACAGTAAATATAATTACAGCCAAAACCAGTTGGAAAAACATCAGTGATAAACATATAACATGGACAAGGCAGCAAAGATATCTTCCAATACAGTTTAATTCATGGATACACAAGTGAAAATTATTTTTTCAAGTGCTGTAATAAAACAATAATTCACCAAGTGTTTTCATGGCCAAGACTGAACATCACCACTGTACTGCAGCCCTTGATGGAGCAGAAGTCTATCTTGATTTGAGACTGGAGCCGAGTGTGTAGAGAGGTGGGATTAAAGTTCTGCTTATCAGAAAATAAACGTAACAGAAGAGGGTCTCGATTAACATCTTTCAAAGATCCTACACCCACTTTTTCTATGGCTGTGATGACAAAAAGAAAAATAATTATGTTTCATTTGGTCAACAATAAGCCAAAGTTTGAAATGTGGAAAAAAAAAAAAAAAAACATCCTTTACATGAGTAGAAACACATTGTATATCCCTGTTGACAAAAATATAACATATTAGCCCTTATCAAACGTACGACAGAAAAATGGGTGTACATATTTTCCCTCGTATTACGGTGTGAGGAGATAGTGGTACGTCTTCTCGTCTCCACTGGATGGTTTCTCTACCAAAGCCTTAAAAAAAAAAAAAAAAAAAAAAAGAACCCACATCTTTATGTAGGTAATGAAATCCACTGGGATTATTACAACTGGTGACATCATCAAAGCCATAGGTGAAATCAGACAAACATTTTATGGCCAGACACAGGGCTTCACTTGTAGTGTGTCTTATAAACACTCTTACCCTGGTGAGAAGGATTCTCTTTTGGGGGACTGTTAGGGACCAAGTAGTAAGGCACGAGACACAGGAGTAAGTTTAAAGAAAAGGTAGGTTTTTATTTTACCCAAAAATAGAAAACCCTGTTTCCAAACCAAACGGGCCTTGTGATCCATCTCCAAGGTGAACTCTTGAGCAAGAAGGTAGTATCGGAAGGAATCAAGGGCCCACTTATAGCCAGTGCCTCCTTCTCCACCGTCAAATACCGAACCTCTGTGGGGAACAGTTTCCGGCTCATGTAGGCGACTGGATGCCGATCATCCTGAAGTCCCTGGAGTAACACAGCTTCCAAAGCCCTGTCAGAAGCTCTTCTTCTGCAAACCGATTTGCAAAAGAAAATGTTCATCAAAGTTTGGGCTGTATAGAAGAGGTTGCTTACTTAGTGATTGCTGGATATCACTGAAAGCTGCCACTGCCATCTCTGTCCCCTGGATCTGATTGGGACTCTGGGATCTAGTCAAGTCTGTGAGAAGAGCTGCCCTGTTGGAGAAATTGGGTATGAAGCGGTAATAGAAGCCTGAATAGATCAGCGCTGCTTCCTTGTTTGTGGCAGGGGACAGGACTCTTACGGCCTGGATTTTGTTGACCTGAGGACGTACAACCCCACTGATGATGTGGCCTAGGTATTTCGATAGGATGACAGTCAGCCCGGCAGAATGAAGGCGATCCAAGACAGCTTGGAGGTGTTCCTCCCACGTGTTACTGTAAATGACAATGTCATCTAGATATGCTGCAGCAAAACCAGAGAAATAACAAATTACCTGGTCCACGAGTCTCTGGAAAGTTGCTGGAGTGCTGTGAAACTCAAATGGTATTACTGTGAAATGGAAAGGGCCCCATGGTGTCCTGAAGGCTGTCAGCTCTTGTGACCGATTCGTGAGAGGAATCTGCCAATAACCCTTGTAGAGATCTATTGTTGTCAAGTATTATGCCTTTCAAGCAGTTCATACATTATTGGTGTTGGATAGGAATCAAAGAGAGAAATTCAATTCAGGTGCCTAAAATCAATGCAGAACCTTATGCTTCCATCCTTCTTTGGTACAAGCACTATTGGGTTACACCACTAGCTCTTTGAAGTCCCTGTGATCCCCAGGGAAGGCATCAGGTTAACTTCCTTCCTCAGTGAGGCCAGCAGGCGCTCAGGAATCCTGCAAGTTAATCTTCTCACAGAAGCACCTTCTCTAACAATAATGTCATGTTCAACAATATTTGTTCTCCCAGGATTCTTCTGGAAAACATCTGAATTACAGATGGATCTCACCTGAAGCCGTTGGCCGTCTGATTGGTTACTGAGATCATGGTCTACCAGGTCACTAGAGAGGTAAGTATTGCTCAGCCACTTCTTTATCCAGCATACTTCTTATTAGCATCATTTCTGTTTTGTTTTTTTCAGGTCGCAGCACCCACTCTTTTCAGAGATTTATGTGAAGTGCCCTACTGGAGCGTGAGTGCCTTGGTGTCGATACCTGGTTGGCCCAAGTTTCTTAAGGATTTTGAATGGTCCTTGCCATTTAGCCAACAGTTTGTTAGCGCCAGCATTTCTGTCCAGGGTTGAAGAATCTCTGCCTGGCTGGCTTGTCGTACCAGGACTTCTGTTGCTGCTGGGCGTCCGCCACGTGCTATTGGGCCAGCTCACCCATTTTCTCCAGCCGCTCTCCTATCTGGATGACATAGGATACAACGTTAACAGATCCCACCCTCCCAGATCTCTCAACAGTGCCAACGACCCCCAAACTTCATGTCTATACAGAAGTTCAAAAGGAGAGAAACCAGTGGAGGATTGGGTACTTCCCTGTATGCAAAAAAGGAGGTATGGCAGCCATTGATCCCAGTCTGTACCAGTGTGGTTTACCAACTTCCAGAGCATCTGTTTCAGGGTCTGGTTAAAGTGCTCTGTTAGCTCATCCGTATGAGGAACATATGGTGTAGTCCTGAGGCTCCTGATACCCAGTAACTGGTACACCTGTTTCAGCAGAGTAGACAAAGTTAGTTCCCTGATCAGTTAATATTTCACAAGGGAAGCCCACCCTTGAAAAGAACTGTACCAAACAGAAAGCATGGATGGATTTTAGTAGAAAGACTTCTAGATACTTGGTAGCAAAGTCTGTTATAACCAGCATCTAACGGTTCCCTACAGGACCAAAAATGTCCATCCCAAGGCGCTCAAATGGGCTGCCAATGATGGGTAGTGTTTGTAGTGGAGCTCTGGAGGGTGTTTTAGCAGATGTTATTTGGCACTGAGGGCAACTTTCACAAACCTGAGAAACATGTCTTGCGCAGGCCAGGCCAGTGGAAATGGTTTTTAATGCGAACTGTGGTTTTGTGGGCCCAGGTGGCCAGCCCAGGGAACCGAGTGCCCCAAGGCAAGTATGGTGTTTCTAGCTGCAACGCTGACTCTTTATGATAGAGGATGCCATTTTGCAGGATATTCTCATCACTTATGATGTCCAACGCAGCTTCCGGCTCCTTCTCCTTCGCTTTCTGGAAAAGAGAGACCAAAGACAGAGCGGTTTTCTGTATATCACTTATATTACCTGGAACTTGAAACCCTAGTGGTAACTCTGGCTCAGTGCTGGTTGGTGGTGTCATCTCTGTCTTTCGGAATTTCTTGTGTCTTCTGTCTGCAGGTTTTCTGAGACTTTCCAGGTGTGGTCTCCAACTCCTTATTGAAAAGTAGCTCATTGGATTGCATGGTCTGCATTCTGTTTACAACAGCGTTACGCTGTTTGCTTTGTTCTGGCTCCAACAAATCAAAAAGAACGTTTAGGTCTCTTTCTAGAACAGCATCAAAAGGCACATTATCAGCAACCCCAATGTTCAAAAGGTAAGTTTGACCTTTTACCTTAATGTAGATGTCAGCTGTTGGATAAGGCTTCTCATCTCCATGAACACAACAGATAAGGATGGTGTCACTGCTGCTGAAAATGTTGGTTGGTACAAACTTCCTGTGTACCAGTGTCTAACCACTGCCAAAGTCAAGCAAGGCCCTAAGAATGGTTCCATTAACTTCAATGTTTTGCATTTTAATATAAAAGTCATTTTTAAGCACATTTGTGTCATCTTAGCTGAGATGGGTTTAGTATGGCCTGCAAGTCCACGTAAATAACAAATTAGCTTTTTGCTAGAGGGTTTGTTGGCCTGCTAACTGGCTGGCCCCTCCCACATAGAAGGCTTACCCTCAGTGGATGCTTCCCCCTGTTTATTTTCTCTGGTACATCTATGTAGATCTGGTAAATCCACATAAA